ACTCCAGAACATCACAACGCCAAAACGAAAAAGACTCTAGAACATCACAACGCCAAAACGAAAAATACTCCAGAACATCACAACGCCAAAACGAAAATGACTCGCAAACATCACAGGGCTATAACAAAAAGACTCCCGAACATCACAACGCCAAAACAAAAAAAAAAGACTCCAGAACATCACAAGGTTATAACAAAAAGACTCTAGAACATCACAACGCCAAAACGAACATGACTCCAGAACATAACAACGCCAAAACGAAAAAGACTCCAGAACATCACAACGCCAAAACGAAAAAGACTCTAGAACATCACAACGCTGTTATATACTTTCTTACATTGAAATAAGATCCCAAAACAAAAAGACTCAATAACATCGCAACGCCAAAACGAAAAGACACCAGAACATCACAACGCAAAAACGAAAATTACTCCAGATCATCACAACGCCAAAACGAAAAGACTCCAGAACATCACAACGCCAAAACGAAAAAGACTCCAGATCATCACAACGGCTAAACGAAAAGCTGCAGAACACCATAACGCAATTCCGAAAAGGCTTAATAATATCACAACGCAAAAACGGCAAAATACAATAACGCCATGACGAAAAGGACACCAGAACAGCACAAAGCTATACAAAAATACTTAGAACATCACAACGTCAAAACTAAAAGACATCAGAAAGCAAAAATACTAACAAACAAGAGTACCGCGAGGCTGAACAATATACGTCCGTCGAATGCCAAACAGTGTTATATACTTTCTTACATTGAAATAAGATCTGCATCATTCTAAAAGTGGTTAGCTGACATGCTATAAAAAATGTAGTAGAAAATCTCCGGACAAAATAAAATTCAAATACTGAAATAAACAAAGGGCAATAAGTTTTGTAAAAATCGTCAAATTAAAATTCTTTTAAGGGAGACAAAACTTCAAATCATGATTATAATGTATACCAAGTTTCAAAGAGATCAGTTAAAAACTGTAGGAGGGGATTGCCGGACAAAATTCAAATACTGAAA